TTTGCGAAAATTTGCGAAAATTTTTGAAAATATGGAGTGTCCCTAGCTAGATCGTTCGAAATGGCATTTTCAGAGTCTTCTAAACCTTATACACACAACTTTTGGTAGCTTTTATTTGGATATACAAAACCATATTGTTGAATACCCACGAGTATGAGGTTGCATGAAGTGTTGGCCACTATGCCCTATATACAATTATACATGTATCGTAACTATATTCTTTACCATTTATTGAGTCAACGGCTGTTCCAATGTGCATATTATTGTTTACTTGAAATCAGTTTAATAAACGGTATTGAGTTTACTACATTAATAATGTTCTACTGTTCTCTATTTTTTGTCTGTAGGTTTTATGGTACTACGGGGTCATGCAATGCAGGTATTTATCCTGCACAAAAATTTTTGGCTCCCCTTTTTTCATGCACAAAAATATCTGACCCCACTCTTTTTCCACCAGCCCACATGCAGGGCTGGTGGAAAAAGCCCCTCCCTGTAACTAATGACCAGTCCCTTACATGGAATGGCTCCAAAGTACATGGTAGACCTACTTGTTGTCAAAGTGGAAGGAAACTACCTTTTACACTCTAATGATAGCATAATGCTATAGTTTCATAAGGGTAAATTTTTACCATCATTTGGGGACCAATCTTTCACTGTGGCAGCTCCGAAACTTTTGACTTTGCAAACTTTGCAAATAACTTTGCAAAATATGCCGTAAGATATATAGCCCTGGTAGGCAAAACAAACACTTGGTACCCATTTCCTTCGCCAAGCTTTCTGAACTGACTATTGTCAAACAATAGAGAGACAAAGGATTTTTCAACCGCGACCCTGCACAAGGTACACAATCACCTAAAACAAAGGGTTTCCAAACCATGTCATATATATTAACTATGCTTTCGCTCAACATATAACTTCGGCCACCTTACCGGGATAATGTGACTCGAATCTGTTTCCGACCGCCCCCACGGTTGCTACAATGAATAAAAGCGACAAATCCTAACAAGAAGAGGGAAGAAAACGAAGACATGCACAACAAGGGAAGTGAGGAAAAGGTACAAAATAGGGGGGTTGCAATGAAATTTCAAGGAATTTGCTAATAAGCCTGGTATCCATTTGGTTGCATACAAATGTAGCGACTAAATCATGGTCACTGATATGAAACAGTCGGGATTAATCTTGTCTTTTGTGTGCTATATGCAAATCAGTTTTTACCGATTGCAGAGATAAATTGACAATGTATTATTACATCAGCTATCTTGACATGGTTACAATTGCCCAGACCTAATGGAAACCTGATTTTAGTGTTATATATAAAAATACACCTCTTTTAATTATAATTATCTGCTAATATATATTTTTGATCGACGTTAATATCTTATCAGTCCCATATTATTATTTAATGATTAACCACACTATATCGTCTGGGAATCTCCATTTGACGAGTAAAAATGAAAATGAGGTCAAGAAAATGTTATTCTAATATGCAGGTGGTCACCACTAAATTTCTGCTCTTTTAAGGGGAGGGGGCTTTCAATTTTAAAAATTTGGAAAAAAGAAAAAATTCCGCCCCCCCCCCTTCCATAAATAATGAGTGGCTAATGGAGCTAAACCTAAGGAAAACCTAAATTATGATTAGTTTGAAAAAAGGAAAACAAAAAAAGCGAAACCAATTTTCACACTAGGAAATGAAAAGATATCCGTTGTACAGGAATACGGTTACCTAGACATAAAGCTTAATCACAATGGTAATTTTTCCTTGGCTATCAAACAGCTGAGTGAAAAAGCCCTGCATTCGCTCTATATAGCATCAGAAGACGGCTCAACCTACACCAACTTAACCCCAAATCTGCTATTAAATAGATATCCCATTCTTCTGTACAATGCAGAAGTTTGGGGTGTATATATCAAAAACGATTTTAACAATTGGGATAATTATACTGCCGGTTGAAAAAGTGCACCTAAAATTCTGTAAGCTCTACTTGGGCTTTGGCAGAAAGACGAGTAATATCGCCTCAAGAAGCGAACTTGGAAAATATTCATTAATTATCAATGTATTCAAAAGAATCTTCAAGTACGTCACTCATCTTAACTCACTTCCTGAAACAACCATTTCAAAACAAGCTTTCCTCATATCAAAAGATTTATTTATTAAAAAGAGCAATTCTTTCTATGGAAAAGCAATGGATATAGTGAAAATCTTAAATTGTAATAGAGCAATCCCAGACCCAGATTCACTCACAACCAATCTAGTTGAATCATGCGTTAAAGATACTAAAGAAAACTACCAGAGATTCTGGAGACATAAACTTGAAAACTCATCCAAACTTACCTTCTACACAAACATAAAGGAAGACTATGAGCTTGAAACTTATTTGACCACCATAACTAATTCAAACCAAAGAAAAAGTTTAACACAGCTCCGACTCAGTAATCATAAACTAATGATTGAACTCGGCAGATACGAAAACATCCCGCGAGATGACCGAATATGCAAGTCTGCCAGGCAGGAGAAATTGAAACGGACCATCACTTCCTAACATCTTGTGAAGCCTATAGTAGTCTTCGAGAAAACTTTTTAAATGAATTGGAAAGTGATCCCACCAATAAAACAGATTTAAACGAACACAGTTTATCAGTTGAGATATTGAAATCAACTGATAAAGAAACCGTGATAAAATTATCAAAATTTATCTCTTTATGTTTTGAGAAATGATCTAAACGCCTTGAAGCTCGGAATGCTGACAGTCAGTAGGCTATCTAAATAACTCCCAAACTTCTTCAATTACATATATACTGTAAATAGAGTATTCATTTGTTAACTATGTTTTTCTTTATCTCAATAACTTCATTTTTATTTCTTGTATTACTCACAGTGTCATATTACCACAAAACATTTTGCATTTGTATATTTATAATTAACTAATAAGCTTTAGCAATACTTGTATGCGAAGTCATGCTAATAAAGCCATTTGTTACTGACCGGTCCCTTTATATATTGTTTCGACAATCACTTTGTATTTCCGGTTGAAGCTCTCACTAAAAATTGAGATATTCTGAAATACCGAAATAAAAGATGCAAATCTGTAGATACAAGCTTGAAAATAACACTCTGAATAGTGTTTTGGATTCTGATTGGAACAAGACTATCACGAAAAAGATATGTTGAAAGGGACCGAAGTTCTGTTCGGCGAAAGGTTATGCACTTATGCCCCGGTACTACATTGACATTGTTTACATTGTTCGGGGAAAATGTGTGAAATATGGCATTGCTTGACTTTTAAAGATCGTAAATCGCTATAATGCTCATGTTGACATTTTACTAAAACCATCCATAGGAATTGTTAATTAGTTTCACTGAATTGAACGATGGTATTTTCATCCACATAGCATGCACTGAAGTGCTGAACCAAAGATATATGAACCTCCAAAGTAAACCGACGATATAAGATATGTCGATGTCGATCTGCTTTAATTATGCGCAAGCGAAAGAGTATGCTAGAGTCTTTAACTACAAAATTTCATAAACCAACGACTCTTTCGCATGCCTTTAAATTAACTACAAAATTCCATAAACCAACGGCTCTTTCGTATGCGTTTAATTAACTACAATATTTCGCACATGCGCAGACTAAAAACTGTCACACTAAATAATTTTCTGGTTTTCTAATGGTTCAAATTTCTTTGCCGAAGGGCAAATAAGTTGTGTTTGCATAATTTGTTTCTAATATTGGAACAAACATATTGATATGTTAATTTGAAGGAAATATGGTCAATTGACAGTCAATTAATATGTCATCTGCATTTCAAAAGATTAATATACAACAAATTTTCGAAGTATGCTATAATTCCTCTCTATAATCTCATTTATACAATTGTTCTCTTTTGTTCAATCTTTATTTTTGGAAAGCATTCTTCGTAACCTCTGACTTTGTGAAGAAAAAAATATATAATAAACATTTTACAACAGACTGAACTGCCCCTTGAATAACCGAACTTAAATCATGTGGTGTTCGACAAAGTAAAACACTAGAGCTTCTTCTTTAAGACACTGCTATATAGTCGTATTTCAGATGCTCATTCTTTCAGATGCAAATCAGAGTCAGCCCCCCCTCCCCCTGAATAATTGAAGTTCGGAAAATTATAAACGTAAGTTGCACATAAAGATGGGTGAAATAAATTTGAAGCAAGTAATATTGATAATATTAGATAATGGTCGAAAATGAAATATGGAATGTGGCGAAAAATTTCACCCCCTCGAAGATTTTTCCAGGGGCCCCGTCGAGAAGAATTTTGGGAATGTTACACGGAAAATTGTTTTGATAAGTCGGGCAAATTTGGTTTTGTCGTCCTAATTTTTTCCCCTCCCGTACGCCTATGAGGATAGTTTCTATTTCGCTGAGTCATCAATTTCACACGAGACTAACGCTTGTATTCGAGAAGCTCACTCACACTCAAAGAGTGGAGGTTCAATCTGAGCTTCCCTTGAGTGTCGGTGCTATTTTTGAATAGCTGGAAGGTTGGTCTCGTACCTTGTTATGTGACTACTCTCCCTCCAGCTCATGATTCAAAAACAGCACTGAAATGAGCAAAAGAATGCAGTACGTTTGACCCTTAATAACTTTGGTATCATTGGTTTTCTCTTTTTCGGCCGTATGCCAGTGGATTCGTCTTGCTTCATTTTGATAGTATTTTGAGCCCAAAAGCCCCAAACATTTTATTTTGAACGTTTTAAAGCGCAGTATAAACCTAGACCAACTGGCGGCTGACAGTTTTGAAGAAGAATGTAGCGTACTAAATATAACTTTACTTGTTAGGCCTACCGCATTTTAGTACTGTGTTATTAAGCCTTTCGCGCTCGTATTCGACTTTTCCGCTTAGCTCAGGGAAGACCTTAAATCTCAATTGATAGAGGTGTGTACTGTATGTATCATGTACATTGTACAGTACTATGCGTAGTTGTATAGCCCCAGCGAGTGAACGCTCCATAGAGCGTCTTGTTTTGGAATGGACTCGAACAGTCTGTGCCAGCGTGGGGCCGTGTGCAGTGACAAAAACATCAGAAAATGGGGATTGAGAGAGATAAGTTCAACTGCCTGAAAAATATAACTGACGCAGGGCCTTGGCTCGCTTTACTTGTATTTTTGAGGTAGTTCAATCCTTCTACAATCCGCAGTTTTCTGGAATTTGGAATGATTTGCACGATTTCGTTCATCGCATGGGACGCATGACAGCGGACGAAATGGAGCGTTAATAACCGTATGATTATTCCGTGGCGATTAACTGGAACTGGCGAATTTGTATATGTTCTGCGTATTCTAGTTGTGTATTGTCGACATTGAGAAATATTCTATAGTCACGACGCGTTGTTTGGAGAATACTGAATCAGACGAAGACCCTCAAAAGAACAATGTGGTGCTCTCTTCTCCTCGCTATTCTTTTCACTCTCGTCAACTGCAATCAAAACGTGTTTGCAGGTATTTGAGAATTTTTTATGTAGAAATGAGCAGATTTCGTGGGTAGTTTAGTGATGTTAATATGCAACTTTTGACTGTACCATTATATTTCAAACACTTCAATTGTATAATATGTCATGGGAAGAAGCACTGAGTGTGTAGTGCTGTTTCTGGTGGTGTTTCTGCTGGAGAATAAGTGATAATTATTTTTCATTCTGTGAACAATAATCCTTGACAAGTGTTCATAAGCATGATGATTATACACATCATGAAATCCATTCTTTCGGTTTACAGTTTGCTACACTGATTTTACTGAAAGATTTTAGCGTGCATAGCAGGAAAGGAAACGCCGTTGTTGACCATTCATACAAAAAATACTGATTAAAGATAGTTGAGCATGCAGTTCTATGCGGCAATTAGTTTATAGAAGAATAAAATATAACCAAACTTCGCATATTATACATCGTAAACAGTGTTTTTTTTTAACATTTAGTTAACCTATATCACCCAACGGCTGTGGTTTTACATTTCTAAGTTATCCAGCTATTACAGCTTCATATAAATGTTTAAAACAATTTTACAATTTATTGCAGTTGCGCACGTCATATAGGTTATTTACAAAAGTGAAGAGTAATAAGGTTATGGTGAGTAATAGATATAAATTGGAGTTCATTATGTCGTGCGCAGTGGAAAAAGTAGCATAATGCTTTCGAGTTGTCCACTGCCTACGCAGGCTTCGTAGCGGTCTTTGAAATCCTTGAAAGTCTTTAAATTTGAATGCAGGTCTTTAAAGTTTTTGAAAAGTCTTTGAATTGTGTGAAAAAGCGAAGAAAGTCTTTAAAAGTCTTTAAATTCTTTAGTGAGGAATTAATTATACGATTTCACAGCTAATAAAATAGATTGATTGAAGCAAGATTTTCGCAAATATCGACGAAAAGGCGCATTTTAGGATGTGAATGGACTGGGACTAATTACTGTGTAAAAATGGTGCTTACACTCGAAATTTTGTCGACAGCTAATTGCTCTCAAAGGGCTTTGAAAAGTCTTTGAAAATAGGCAGAAAAAATCTTTAAAAGTCTTTGAATTTTTTTTTTGTCTTGGAGACTACGCACCCTGCTACGATTTGCTAGTAGAGAGTTTACGCATGTAAGACGGCAGCATCAGGACGACGGCTGTCAATACAATATCATTAATCCTATATAGCACAAAAGAAATGAATCAATTAAAAGTATATCTGGAGTTTCAGATGTCGTCCATGCTCTGTTGACGACGGCGAAATGCATATTTTCACGTCTTGTAAAGTACGCTAGCATTTCAAGCCGTGGCAGGCAATTTTTCTAACAGCGTTAATCAAAATTGCTCTGAAGGTTAAAGCTCTGTTTTACTCGTTGTAAACTGTATTAAATTCATAAGAAAGTGAATATATACATGACAAAATTTTCATACAGTCATTTATTTCAAAAAGTTTATTTAGCCGCCGTTCTGACGCCGTCGTCGTACATGCGTAAACTCCCAAATAACGCGGAGCGGCGCTAGAACGAATTCACAACTGTATATATACTCTATCAAATTACATTTGAGTTAATAGCAGCGATTGCTTATAGTGTTTCGAGCTAGATTTTTTTATTGTGTGATCAACTGATTCCCATATTTTAGATAAAGAGAATTGAAATGTAAATTTTCCATAATTAGTTCTTACTTTTGGTCTAATAAAATTTTCTTTTGAAGCAAACCTCGTGTTATATATAGGTGTGCGACGCGGAAGCTGGCGTTACGAATGTAGAAAATGTGTTAGGTATACATTACTTGGTTCATTTAAAATTTTGTAAGTGAAAATAATATGCTTCTAATACATTTGTTGAGAGCTGTAGGCCTATATACGGAGCTTGGTTAAATGAGAAGTATAAGTATTGGCCCATGCAGCTCATTTATAAAAGGGTAAATTAGGGTACAGTGGAGTTGCTTATATAAGCATATTTAAATCAAGATGATATCTTATTTTGTTTATGATACCAGTACTTTTGGAAATTTTGGCCTTCACGTACAAGGTCAGGATCGTTTTAGTCAAGTTTATTAGGGTTCGGTAATATATCGAACAAGTCTGCTACCAGATCTAAATCCCTCATCCAAATACTGTTTAAGGGATTAAATTCACTACTAAGTTCATAGAATGGTAGCCTGCGTAGCAGGCGTTTAGTGCGGGCAGGAGAAGAGGGGCACCCTCTCTTCTCCCGCCCGCACTAAACGCCTGCTACGCAGGCTAATCGATAGGTAGCGTCGGAATTCCAGATATTTCAATGTATTCTCGGCGATCATATTGTTCTAGATTGTCAAGTGCAACGTTAACTGCATAGTTAGATTCTTCTGCCTTCTCTATTCTGGTTTCAATGATGTTTACCTTCTTCGAGAGATCTGCAGTTTGCTTCATGTTATCATGCATTATTTTTTTAAAGTTATCGAATTCATTGGACAAGAACTGCTGTGAGGTTTCAATGTCCTTACATTTGGCAGTTGAAACGGTTACTTCAGATCTTAATACAGATAATTCCGCTTTAATCTCGTTCCTTATACTTGGCAGGAATCGATTCTCCCATAGTTTTATCATTGCTTCTATAGTTAGACTTTTTTCGGTGTACCAGATCTCATTTAAACACGTTCATTATAAAGACTTTAGTGTACAAGAATTTACTTGTAGAAAGATGATGTCCCATTATAATAAATCTAAAAATAGGTACGCACTGCGTACATTTTGGAAGCCATTAGTCACAGCAGGGTTAACCATAAACTTGTTAAAAGTGTTGGTGTTTGCTGGCATAATTTGTATGCCCTTTTCACCTCTGTGACCGAAGTTTGTTACTGCAACATCAGGGCGTGGACTTCCTTCTCATTATTTTGGCCCAAATGCACATGGGCTCCCATGCAGTTTGCCTCTACAAGAAACTGATTAGTTTTTTTGGGTCCATGGTACTCCTCTAAAATAGAGAGTGATAGCGCAGGATTCACTATGCCTCAACTAGAAAAAGAACAGTGGCATAGCTAAGGTTGAATGTTTGGGTGGGGTGGGGGTTTGGGGCAAGTACTGAGTGGCAAGGTCACAAAAAATGCTGGATTTCTAGGGCTCAGAAACGCCATTTTCCACATTCTGATACAAATTTTTAAAAGTAATTGCAAGGTTATACGTTACAAATCCTGTTATTGTTACCAGAGATGCCGGAAATGGGGGGCAGGAGGGGCAGCTGCCCCTCTTGCCTTTTGCTAGGAGGGGCAAGGGGGGCAAAAGTGCACTTTGAGTTATAAAATACTACCTGATAAACCACATTTCCAGTGATGCTTTTTGGGCAAAATCATGAGGTGTGATCTTGAATGTGACCTGATTAAGTGTGTTTGCTTTCATTGTCTGCAATCACGGCTTCAATTTTTGAATTGTAGAATAATTAGATGCACTATCTAGTGTATATAAGATATCTATGGGGTAAATATGTTAGAGTAAGCAATAGAACAAAACAAATTTGAAATCTGCATAATATTTCGATTGTGCAAGTCTACAGTACTAGTATATAGTCTAATATAGATTTCGTAATAATTAATCTCTTTCTCAGTCGGTAGGTTCGTATTACATTTCGATTCAATTTTTCTGATGTAAATATCGCGGCGAGTATTCACCCCCCTTTTAAACAAAACCCCACCATTGTAATCCTCATAATATAACCTTTCGAACAGGGGGTCAAGTGCCGTCAAAACATTACATAAACCGAAACAATCATATATTTATACTCACTGCTTCGTCAAATATTCAAACGAGAAAAAGAGAAAAAGTTGAATATATTCTAAACTTTTTGTCATTTTCTGAAAGGCTATATGTGTAAAATACTCTTTGTATTCAAGCGCTTTCGTGTAGAAAGTTTCGTATGAATACGGCGAGTAGAAAGACTTATTTTGAATTTTTCAAGGTATCGGGTTTTACTCGCAAGCGCTAATTGGAAAACGCGGACATGCGGACACGCGGACATGCGGACACGCGGACATGCGGACACGCAAGTCAAGTGGAAAACGCGGACATGCGGACACGCAAGTCAAGTGGAAAACGCGGACATGCGGACACGAAATTTACTAAACTTCAAAAAATCTATTACGACAATAATTAATAATTTTTCGCAAGATATTCAAAGTTATCAATGCCGAGGTTGTGTTTTTCTCTCTCTTTTCTCTGTCTTAGTTTGTAAGCTCGTTTAGTGTATTTCGCTTCTTTTTTTAGTTACAAAAACAAATCTCGCCATGGGCCATGGCTTTATATGTTCTGCATGTAAAGAAGCTCGTTTTCTGCTGGCAGAATTGATGTCATATTTACATTCAGAAAGCTATATCTGCAGCTGTGATGTCATAATTACACAATCAAAACGGAGATTGTATAGGATAATAATGACTGAAGATTGATAATGGATTGTTGCGCGAACTTTTACTGTTTTCATGTATTTTACTTACAGTATTGAAGATTCTGAAAAATCCACTCAGAATCTTTACAAAATGTAAAACAACGGCAATTCAGAAAACGTTTTCATATATTATTCAAGTTTCAACTACATATGTTTTAATTGTCATCACGAATGATACTGGGTTATATTTTACAAGTGAGGAATCACAGAGTAATTTGATATACATCCACATACGTATATATTATCAGGTCTTTTGATGTTTTACTTCCCTGCTTCAAGGTTAAGTTCTCAGTGTAAAATTGTAGCTGATCATGACTAACTTGTGATTGCCGATCAACACTAGGGGTACAGTTGATCGCACGCGCAGGTATAGTTTTGCAACTATTTATTCGTCGGAATCATTATTATGATATAGAATGCCCGTCCATTTTGACACTTCGCGCCTCCTGTAATCCTTTGCGAACAGCGACAACTTCCTCATAATAGGTACTCGACAGAATTAATTGCTGATGGGTTTTGTAGATGGAAATTTCCAATGTCACTTTTATACATTTTTTTATACCTAACCGGTCCTAACCAGGAGCAGTTGAGAAAAATTCCAACAATTGCCCAAAATCCTCTACATTGGCATCGCCTTAGTCACAGTTAACTGTGCCTTAGTATATACACATGAACTTGCGGTTTGAGTTCGACAACTGGATTCTATAGCTCAGTTGGTTAGAGCGCTTCGAGATTGGCGTATTCATACTGCCTGCGTTTCAGTTTTGATCATTTCAACTAAAATAGAGTGATATGTAAACGACACATCACACCTGCTCGTGTGACAGCGAAAGGCCTGCTTAAATTACTTCCGATCTATGCTTTGCTGTTAGTTCCGATCCGATCTATGCTTTGCAAATTTTTGTTTGTTTTTCTTTTGGAATTGGATCAAAAAGGTGGTTGCAGGTATTCAGATCCTGGAATGCTGCAAAATGGCCCTGCTGACCTGTTGGGACATTTTATTGGGTGAACATCAAATGATGTGAGGAGTGAAATGAAATTTCGATTCAATCTGACTGATAGAGTTGGAATGGTATAGATAATGATAATTTTAGTGAATTATGTTATGATGATGATGCATGGACTGTGATGATGTTGGTGAAGCTTGATTTATAACATAGATATAAAGTGATGATACTGGTGATATATGAGTTGTAAAATGATATGAAATATAAGTGATACATAAGTCTGAACATTCAAGCTAAATAGGGCTCATAGTATTATGCCCGAAGGCAGTGCTCGTTAATTAAAACAATCTATTATGCTCGTGAAACAGCCTATTATGTTCGAATTATGCTCGAGAAAAATTCAATTTTAATAAGTAGAAAAATGTTCAAACAAGCCAGATCTGACTATCTGAGTGGGACCTCTCTACAGTCAAAGCATTTATAACTAATTCATTGTTTTAACTCTCGTGACAAAACTCATTATTTTACTAGTGCCCAGGATCCTGGCCTGTGCTATAGTCTCATTTATTTTTTTATTTCTTTAGACTCTAGCCCCAAAGCCGAAGCATTATTTTATTAATTTTGAATTGCTCGAAAACGGCTAATTATGCCGACTATCCTCGTATAAAGCCCCGTTTACACGACCAATTTTTATGTGACAATTTTTCATATTTTTATGTGAGAAATGTATTTAATTGGTCGTGTAGATGAGACAACAATTAAATAATTATTGATGCACTTGATTCCTGTTTAAAAAATATCTATGAACAGCGCAACAACATGACGAACCGCACTGCCTTAATTATGCAAACTTGTGTTTTAAAAACACGAATCTCCGGAAACGCATTAGCTCATAACTGTCAACAATCCAGCTGAAGTGCATAAATTTACTACGATTTTTCGCTACATGATATTGCTGATCTCTGTAGGAGCTCTGACGAAATCTGTTATTAATATTGTTATTGATTAAAGGTACAGATTGAAGGTGTTTTGGATCTTCTGAGTGATAACAACTTGTGATTTATTGTATGACATTTATTGCGGGAAGCAATAACACGTGTAAATGTTGCGCTTTTTCGCCTTCTGATGGCCTCAAGGTAGCAGCATATGGTACCCAGAATGACATATTGTAACAAAGTCAAAGATCTATGAATTATTCTGTTCTACATGTATCAAATGTTTACCATGTGCCTATATATCAGATAAAGTTGTGCGTTCTGTGATGGTGGCTCAGTAACTGTTTTTTTCAGTATTTCACTATATCGTTGAGACATGATTTGCTTAGCACAATAATCTGTTCGCACTTACAAAACTCCCCAACCTTTAATTTAAAACAACTCTCTCTAAAGCATAAACATCGGCATCGCTTGCTGGTGACTGTTTTGACTTGCCTTCTATTATTTCAGATGCAATATGCGCATGCTTTTCCATATGCCTATTTACTTCAAATACTTTTAAGCTTCAATTACTGATTAAGGTAAGATGAAGCATCTTCAAAATCTGTCAGCATAAGATGACGCATCTTTCTGACACAAGAGTGTATCAGCTTAAAAGTATTTGGAACAAATAAACTTGTCATCATGCAAGATCATGCAGTAGATTGTGCATTAGAGCAAAGCAATATCATATTGTATTTATCGCAACATTATGTTAGCAACTCAAATTCCACTTCAATTTAGAAACCGTACGTAGTTCCATATGCCTATTTATTCAAATACTTTTAAGCTTCAATTACTGATTAAGGTAAGATGAAGCATCTTCAAAATCTGTCAGCATAAGATGACGCATCTTTCTGACAGGTTAGGTGGAAAACGCGGACATGCGGACACGCGGACA